CGTACAGAAGCTGGCTATTTCAAACGAAGGAACATTGGAGAACTGTCAGGTGGGCTTCATGACGTCTTGACCCCGCAGTGCAGCTCCGATCTGTTTCAGTGTGCCACCACGCAGTTTGCGGTCTCCTCCATCTTGCGTCACGAGACTTCAAAGGTGTGCGGGCTGTTCGGTGCCATCTCCCCGAGACCGCTTTGACCTGTTGTAGCACACAGGGTCCTGCGAACCGTGATGACTCCTGGAATCTGCGAGCCGATTTTGTTCGAGCTGTTCTGTCTCGCCAAGTAGAGTCAGAAAGAACACCGAAGCACCACTGGCAGCAATAGCGGGAGGGCTGCTTCAGCACCCCAGCCATTGTCTACAACTGAAGGCCAGAGCCCCTGCGAGGAAACGCCGTTTTTTCTACAGCCCTTGAAAGCACGAGAAGGTGAAGCTTTCGCTTTTATCCATAGCCTGTGAAAGTTGCGATCTCGGCCCTCCTCAACCACTCCTCAACTACGGGTTCTCTTGAGCTTTCTCTTGCCTTGTGTGCTAGAGTTTCGCTACATTGGGCTCAGAAGATGGAGAGGTTGTTGTTTCATGCCGGCGCCCCAGAGCCCAGAGAACTCCAAGCTAATGCCTAGCAAGATCTGAAAGCTGTCCCCTCCTTAAAAAAGCTTTACGGAGCTAGGGTGGGTCTCCACCAGCCCAGATTTGCGCATGCCATCCCGGGCGAAAGATCTGATCTTGGAGCTTCTAGAACTGAGCGCCTATGCCTGGTGTTGTTGCAGTGCCGTCTTCCCTTAACTCGGTGCTTTTGGTAATTCTTGGTGGAGCAAGTGCTCCGCGATGGTCTCATATGTGCCTACTCAAGGCACGCGAGTGTTTCCTCAACCGCAAGCTCCAGATCCTGAGTCGCGAAGATCTCGGAACCTGCACCCTGAGCCCTTGCAGGGTTCATCTGCAAACGTCGCGCGGTTCCTCAAAGCCCCGACCCCCTTCGTGTGCCGGGCAGGGCCTGACAGACGTATGCTTCCTTTCTCAGACACCCGGCAGGCTTCGACCCCATCCGACCTGAGCTTTAGCAGTCTGAAGTGCTGTCTGAAGGAAGTTTGAGAGGTTCAGGCCTCAGCTTCAATACATGCCCGGTTTCTCCTATGCAGGGACTCAGCTTGAGCGATTCCGGACAGCTTTAGAGGGTGATTTCGGCCTTGTCGAGCCCCCGTCCCCTCTCTGTCTGGGACCCACCCTGTCTGGACTCTTGAACACTTTTGAACAATTCAGCCTGAGGACTCGCCAGAAATGCAGCCTCAAGCTTGCTAAGCGGGAGGCCCCAGACGAACTTTGGGTTCACGGTGGTTCAGGGCCTTTAGTGATTAGGGTTTAGGGGAGAGTTTCAACTTTCCCACCTTCTCTGACAAGATGAGGCTGATGTCATGGCAGCTCTCCCAGCACTGACCCACCGCCCGTGCAATGGCGTAACGGTGCCACAGAGCCGAGGCACCCGAAGCCTGACGCGCTGCCCAGGACCCTAGCCGAGCCAGCCAGTTTCTTCGTGTCGGGCCCGTCCTCGGCCACCAAACCCTGAGTTCCTGAGCAAGTGAGCCCGAGACATCCACTCCTAAGCCTCAAAAGACACGAGCCCCTAAGTTTCTTCAGAAGGCCCAGCCGGGATTCTGTAGAACTCTACTGGGACTTAGGGCATCCCAACGTCAAGCTTCAGCAAATCAGACTGGGTGTGATGCTCCGGCAGGGCCGGATTTTCATGTCTCGTGCACAGGATCCATTCTGGAATTGAGGCAATCCACGGACCAGTCCCTTGAGCATTCACGAGGCATGCGGGGTGGTCAAGTTCGTGCACGCCGTGCGTTCAAGTGACCGGATGCAATGGTCTTTCCAAGCGGCAGTGCCCTTTCCGTCGGTGCTCTTGCTGTCGTCGTGGGCGTGCGTCTTCTGGGTGCTTCCTCCTCTCTGCGCTGGGGTTCTGGGAACGGCATGCAGCATGCGGTTGCCCAAGAAAGCGGCAAGGCATGGGGATCCTATAGTCCGTAGAACAGAACAGGGTCTGAGCAAGATCTGTTTAAGGACAACCCCTCACGCAAGTGCTGTGAAAGTGCTCTGCAGGCGAAAATGCAACTGTCTTTCCAAGCGGCAACGCCCTTTCCGCCGGTGCTCTTCCTGTCATCATAAAATTGCGCCTCTGCACTGCGGTTTTAAGGACGGCATGCTGTTGCCAAACACCAGGTCCAATAGTCCGTAGAAAAGAAGAGTCTGAGCATGACCTGTTTCCTGCGTGTTAAGGACTATCCAAAATGCATGTTAAGGCATCCAGCCGTGAAAGTGCTCTGCAGGCTACAATGCTACTGTCTTTCCAAGCAGCAGTGCCCTTTCCGTCGGTGCTCTTCCTTTCGTCGTGGATGTGCGTCTTCCGGGTGCTTCTTCCTTTCTGCACTGGGGTTCTAAGGGCGGCATGCTGTTGCCAAGGAACACGTCAAGAACTGGGATCCTATAGTCCGCAGAGCCGAACAGGGTCTGAACATGATGTGTTTCCTAGATGTTGAGGTCTCAACGCAGGTTCCGTGTTTGCGATTCTTTGCAGCTCCCACCCGACAATGCCTCTGCAGGCCTAGGCCGTGCAAGTCCTACGAATCGGAGGCACCTTTGTAGGGTTTATGGCTTCCGCTCCCAAGTCGCCCGAGCCCTGTTGCCAGTTCGACCATCTAGGCTGTACATGTTCTCTTCATCATCCTAACTTCAAGAAGTCAAGGCTGAGGAATCACCGTTGACTGCCCGCAACTTTCATGACCTTCGGGACTTCAGATGTCGGGACGGGTGTTCGGGCCGGCACGAATCCGACGATCTTGCTGCTAGAATAGCTGGTGGTTTGTTAGCGTAGGTTCTTTGTTCTCACTGCAAGGGCCTCAAGAATCTTCACATTAATCTCAGGACGAATTTGGTCCTCCCGGTTTTGGAATCTTGGCAGAGCACATTGAAATAGCTTCGACAGTTTGGAATGGTTTGTGTTTGCAGCTCTCTCAGGCTGTTTCCGAAAGCAGCCCTTGAGCAAACTCTGACGAATCCATAGTAGAGATGTCTGGTGGTTCCGAATCCCCTCCTGGGAACCACGAGGCATTCCAATGCAAGCAGCTCAAGTTTTTCAATCCTGGCCGTCTGCACAGGCTGCATCTGGCCAGGGAAGTAAGCTTCTCTGTTTAGTACCCAGAACTGGCGCTCAGTGACGAACCAGATGTCGGGCTAAGAGGCTTGACTCCGCGACCGCATAAGATACCACTAAAGAGGTGCCGGTTCAAGTTGAGTGCAACGCGGTGGTCGTTGAACTCGACGTCTTCTATGGGAGTTATGTATAGTAACTTGGCGAATGGGCTTCTGTCTCCCAACAACTGATGATTAGGCAGCGTTTGTGCTGTCAGAAGCGTTTGGCATGGGTGGCCCTGAGCTTACATGACTTCGAGTCGCGTTCTGCAAAATCGGCCTGTCCTCGGCATGTGGCCTGCTCACTTCTCAGCTTCCGGGCCCACGGGGAAGCACTGAAGCACTGGCATTTCTCTGAGGGCTCTTCGAAGATCGCCGCCCGAAGCTGTAGTTTGCATCCCAAGCCAACTCTGCGCACGTAGTTAGGAGCGTGGCGATTTGAGCGAAGGAGCTTGGAAATGCTTACGCCGTGATACAAGGTTGCGGGTTGGCGATGTCAGTCACGCTCATGAGCCCTGCAACTCTGCAAGCCGCAGGCTGAACCACCTGCCTCTGCAGCATGCAGCAACGGGATGAGCCTTGGCGCTTCCTGTTCTGTGGTTCATTCTTGTGATATGGCTTTCTTGGTGGCTCCTAACCGGCTTGGGAGTTGCCTGGGCCCAAAGCAACGTCTGGCAGTGGTTCAATGAAGAATCCTAGCCGCAGCTCAGACAGCCACTTCGCCAGAGCTAAGACTAGCTTAGAGCTCGGGCTGCGGCTTTTCAAGGCTCATAGGTCGCAAGATGTCACAAGGTTCAGGTTGATGTTCATGCCTGCCAGATGCGACTTGGATGACACCTCCGACCGTGTGCTCGTCTCCAATCCATCTCCGAGGCTTAAGTGATGAGTTATGCAAGATTCTGCAAGCATCGCATCGGCTTCGCCTTCTAAGCACTGCATAGCACAGCAGGCGCACTGCGCCCTTGGCCTGCCATGCCTGCCTTAGCCCTTCCTCTTGCTGTGAGGGGTTGACTCTGTTTTGCAGCTTCGCCGTGCTTCGCCGTGGACGGCCTGGACGGCCCGGACCCGGGCCCCAGGACCTCCCAGGAAGCCGTCTTGGGAGCTTCAAAAAAGGCTGCGTGAGCTGTAAGAGCCTCCGATCGCATGGCCAGAGTTTACGCCTCCAGAGCCAGCTCATCAGGAGCAGCGATGCCCCCCTGTAAATGCACAGGGATCTCGCACTTAGGTTTCTGTGAAGCTTTAGCGTGTAGGGTTTGGTCTCAGCCGCCGCTGCAGCCCAAAGCCTTGAGAGCCATGGAACCCAAGAAGTGCAGCAGTGATAGCAGTGGATCACGGGAATGGCATGACACAAACCAGAGAAGCTCCCAGGCCTGTGCTTGAGCCACGAACATCAGGCAGACGCCTGATGGCCGCGCCTCCCTGGGATATCACGAGACCCGTCACGAGACTGCTCCAAGCTTTCCAGAAATCGCGGCCAGCACAAGGCACATGGGGCCTCACCCGAGGATGTTTCAACGTGACTTGTTATGGCATCAGGAGTGTCGCAACTGTGTGGCAGAAGAAATGAGAACGGATCGCCGCGCAGTCGCTTGTTTGCTGCCGTTGTTCTGCATTTCTTTCGCTTGTTAACTATGCAGGCTTTCGGAGGCTCACAGGTCACAACCCACGTGTAGTCTGCAAGGTTTGGGATTGTTGTGAAGCACAGCATGTGCGCATGAACAACCGCAAACGGCGTAGCTGCCTAAGCACTCTGGCTCGACGCTCGACGCCTTCAGCTTTTTCAGATAGCATCCTCCTGTGCCTCGACGGTCATGGCTGACTCGACGGCGGTCGCTTTGCAGCTTGTGGCGGCGATGGCGGCCGTTCGACGCACCGGCATTGTGCCGGTCGTTGGCCTGTTGACGGCGGACCAGGTGGCGGACCTCAATGACATCACGACGGCCGCCAACCAGGTCCTGGAGGGTGCGGCGGAGGCAGCGGCGTCAGCAGAGGTGGTGCAGAACTTTGCCCCGATGGTGGCTGGAGGCGTCGGCGGTGGATCGACGATGCCATCTGGGGCCCAGACGCCAGCATCGACGGTGGGGGTGGCTCCTCCTGACTTGGCCTTTAGCTCGGCACCCACGACGCCAAAGAAGGCCCCCCCACCGGTGCCCGAGGATGCGGAGGCGGCGACACCTACACGGCGTCCCGTTATGAAGGCGCCTCCCCAAGTCCCAGCCACGACGTGGCGAGTGACGCCGTTGGATCAGTTGCCGCGGAAGGCGGCGCCCACATCGACGGCTACCTCGGGGACCTCGACGCCAGCACATGTTCCGGTGAAGCCCATGCCTCAACGACGTCCTCCGACCTCGCCCCGAGCCACGGCGGCGCCCTCGACGCCTGCAGCACCGATGGCGCCCATGCCCTCTGCGCCTCCGACGCCTGCTCAGACCACTGGGGGCGAGACGCCGGCGGACTACTTTGCTACTCCCGCGGCCCAGGCGCGTGCGGCGGCTCGGCTGGCAGCTGGGGCGGACCCATTCGACGCCACACTGGCGATGAGCGCTTCGGCGTCTGGTCTGGCCACCCCGGCGCAGTCTACTGCAGGACGACGCCCACCCAACATGCAGGAGATCCGGGCGGCGCTCAGTGTCCAGTCCGAGGCGATGGCAGCGGTGGCCCCCTCGACGGCTTCCACGAGACCGACGTCACCCAAGGCGCAGGGGAAGGCACCACCAGAGGCACTCATGCCCCCGACGACGCTCATGGCACCGGAGCCGACGCCTGCGGCGGACCATCAGCACATCGACCCGGACCTGGGGATCCCGGCGGTCACGACGGTGGTTGCCGACACCTTCCTGGACACCCCTCTGGAGCCGACGGCGTCGGCGCAGGATTTCCTGGGCCCGGCGCCGCCACCGCGGCCCTTCTTCAACCTGTCCACGGCCTCGACGACGAGATCTCCGACGCCTCCGTCACCGAGGGTGGACCCACCTGCGGCGGCTTCGGCCAGCGAGTTCTTGGGAGCGGCGTCGGCGGGAGTCCCCGCGCCAGGGCCTATGACGACGGTGCCGGAGGAGGATCGGCCAGAGCCCTGGGAGATGCCCGCGACGCAGCGGCGCTCAGTTTTCCCCCCGGTCACGGCGGAGGGAACAGGGGGCAGGAACATGAGGGCACCGAGCGCGGCGCGTCGGCGTGGCTCGGTGGGACCCTCGCCGGGCCAAAGGGCGCAATGGCGCCGCGACGCTCGGTCGCAAGACGAGCGGCGCCAGTACGGCGCCTATGACAGCCGACGTTGGGGTGGTACCGAGCCGTGGACGGCGGAGCAGGTGGACATCCCGGCGGAGTACTACCCCTACAAGGTGTCCATGGAACGGCGGGGAGCTTCGGCGCTCGACGAGGTTGTCCCCAGCTCCCTTCGCCACTTGGCCTGCGACGACCTGGCGGCGGTGCGCCAAAAGGAGCAGGCGGCGCAGTGGCCTGAGACGGCGCCGCGGGGGGCACAGACCGAGACCGATTACTACTTCATTCGGCGGTTGCCCCAGGGAGTTGCCGGCGCTCGAATCACGGTGCAGCACTCCAAGGAAAAGCGGCGCTTGGTGGGGTGGTGTGCCCACCCGTGCCAGCAGCCCCGCGGCGAGGACAACCGCTGCGACGGGGAGGGCAGGTGCCTCCGGCCCATCATGATCGGCGCCTACGGCGCGCGTGGGAAAAGAGGGCACCGTTGCGCCCTGTGTGAGGGCCTGGTCGGCGGAGGTCGGCGCTAAGCCTTGCACCTCCCGACGAAGCGGAGAGGCTTCTTTTGGCACTTTGCCACGACGGCCCCGCTTCTAAGATCTGCGGGTGTTCGACGGTTTGTCGACGCATCGCACATGTCACGGCGCTGGACGCCATTACTCTTCCAAGCAGCCTGCCGACGCTCTTCGGCGCCAAAAAAAGTGGGAGAACCGACGTCGAGTGCTCGCATGTTTGGTTGTGCTTTCCTCGACGTGCTGCCCTAAACTCCCCCCCCCGCAGCCGTTTTGCTCGAGACGACGACGCGACCACTGCAGACATGGCTCAAGACGCGCCGGCGCCACAGCCGGGCACATTCGCTGCCTTCCTGGCCGAGGTGGCCGCGGCCGGCGGCCAGGCGCATATGCAGGCCTTCGCCGAGCTCGGCGTCACCTCCCGGGCTCTTGTGGGACCGGCCGGCCCGGCACTGGCGGCGGCGGGGGTCCCCGAGCAGGTGATCTTGGAATTGGTGCGGCCGACGTTGACTGGGCCGGCGCCGTCGGCATTGGTGCCTCGACGGGCCGACCTGCCCTACCGCAGGCCCGTGGCGAAGGCTTCCCTCCAGGCGTCCCTCCAGGCGGCGGCCCTGCAGAACATCCAGCAGGCGGTGGACGCGCTCGAGGCCAATGTGGTGGCGGCGTCCACCAGGCGGGCCCTGGACTCTAGGATCAAGTTCTGGCTCAAGCTCGCGGCGACCAACGGCGTCGAACCGTGGCCTCTGACCCCCTGGAAACTGAAAGTCCTGGCGGCGTGCCTCCGGGAGGGGAGCTACCGCTCCGCCCAGCTCTACATCGACGCGGTCCTGTGGCACCAGGAGCATGTGCTGCAGACCGAGGTGCCAACGGGCATGAGAAAGGAGGCTCGGCGCCTTGCCAAAGCGGCGGTGAGGGGCATGCCCGGGACCAGGCTCAAGCAGGCCTTTGATCTCGGCGTGCTGGCCGCGGTGGTCAGGTTCGGGCCGGCCGACGGCCCCTTGGATTGCCGACGGCCCCACCATGCCGTCGACGTGGTGATCGTGGCTTCCTGGTTCATGCTCCGGGAGTCGGAGATGGCCGGCGCCCGGGTCCGAGACATCACGCTCTCGGCCGCGGTGTTCGGCGGAGGGGTCTCGCTGGACCTCCCGCTCCACAAGACGGCGCAGGGGGGACAGAAGGAGCTGACGCGACGCTCGCTGAGGTGCGTCTGCACGGCGGCGATCCACCCTCTGTGCCCTGCCTGCGCAGCCCGACGCCACCTGGCACGCCTCAACTTCGGCGCCGCCCGGGAACCGGAGTCGGCGCTATTCCCGACTACGACCACGGAGCTCAGGACCAAGGCGGCGTCGGTGGAAATGTTCGGCCTGGTCCTCGGCACGGCCGGCGTGGAGACGCATCACACCACACCCGACGGCCGGTCCCTGCCGATATTCGGGGGGCACTCGGCGAGGGTGGCAGGCGCCACGTTCTTGGCGGCGAGAGGAGTCGCTGTGGCAGTCATTCAGCTGCTGGGACGGTGGTCGAGCTCGGCGGTGGAACGCTACACCCAGGCGGCCCCACTGACATATGCGGCGGCGGCGGTCCCGGCACAGGCCCTGGCCACGACGCCGGTAGACCAGCCGACCGCGAAGGCGCAGCCAGCAGCCCCCCAGGCCCCGGCGATCGCCGACGTGGACAGGGAGAGCAGCTGGGAGGTGGTCGCCCCCCCCCACCCTCAGTCGGAAGAGGACGGGCTGGCCGGCGTGGCCTTCGTGCCGGCGCCCCTCCGAGCCGAGGCCGTGGCCAATGTCGTCGGCGAAGCCCCGACGGTCTACATCATGAACTCCCGCACCAAGGTGGTCCACCTCCCTGGTCCCGACGAGGCGGGCTTGGAGCGACACGAGTGGGCGGCGAGGTGCGGCTGGCCCTACGGCCTCCGCCAGTTCTTTAGACTGTCGGCGGAGCCCCGGAACCCCGGCGATGTCAGAGGTGCTTTCCGGTAGTGGCCCTCGACGCGGCCGAAGTGGTAGGCTCCTCAGACGACGGCTCCTCCTCATCTTCCTCCGGGGGGGGCTCGACGTCGGATAGTGACTGAGACCTGCACGGCGGGCATAGCTCAAAGATCTGACCCTGAATCCCTCGACGCTTGTGCTCCGGTTCGCGCTCGGAAGCCTGACGACGCAGTTTTTAGGCACTGTCTCCGGTCATAGCCCCCCCCCCCTTTATCCTCGGCCAGCGCCCATGGCCGGTGCAGGCGGAGCGGTCATACCGACGGTGGCCGCGGCGATGGAGACCTTGGAGAACCTCCTCACCACGGCCGGCGCGGCTCCTCCGGTTCGGGCTTACCTGGCGGCGAAGGGCATCGCTTCGACGCCGACCCTGGCCTTGATTGCAGAAGACTCCGCGGCGTTCGTGGCCAAGGTGGTGCAGCCCTTCCTCTCCGGCGTCACCGTGGCCGGCGCGGAGCACAAGGCCGCGGCTGGCAGCGAGGACGTGGCGAAGGCGGTGATGGTTCACTTGTTCACGGAGGCCCAACGCCAGTGGAGAGCGGCGACCTCGACACCCCCGACGCTGCCACCTGGGATGCTACCGGCGCCGGCGGCGCCCCCTGCGCCGGCCCCGGCAGCCACATCGCCCGACGACCGTCCACCCAAGCACTTTGCACAGTGGTCGGCGCAGGTCCAGGCGTACGAGGACAAGACCGTGGACGGCGTCAAGCGCGTCTTCCCGACCGAGAAGCTCCTCGGCGCGGAGGACGTGCTGGCGCGGCTCTGGCACGAGCACACCAAGACCAAGGAGTACAAGCCCTTGGGCCTCGGCGAGATCGTGGCCAGGCGCACGTGGACGGCGGGCATGGACCTTAACACCATGGCGGCGGGGAGGTCTTCTTCCTCTTCCGGCGCCAAGGCCATCAAGCTCGTCGACGGGAACCTGGTCACGGAGGACACCGACGAGTGGACGCCCAAGGGGATCATGCTCACCATCGACGGGATCGAGGCCTCCCGCTGGGCGTGGATCATCTGTGGCTTCGACGAGGAGCGACGGATTGACCGGTTCGCGAACTGGTTCATCGAGCGGGCCCGCTCGAAGCAGGCGTCCATACCGGCGGTGCAGAGTTATTGGGCAGACTCGATGTGGAAACTCTGCGCCGATATGCGGCGGGGCCTCACATTTGGCGAGGCGACGGACCGCATCATGAAGGACACCGGCGCTTGGAACGAACATGTCATCGGCAGACTAAGGGCGGCGGCCGTGAGGACGCAGGCTCATGGAAGGACCACGGCGGCCGCGGCGGATACCAACAGAAGGATTGGAACCAGTGGGGCGGCGCCAAACGACAGAACCAGTGGTCCGAGCAGGGCTCCGGCGGCTGGGGGAAACAGAGCCAGACGGATGGCGCCGGCGACTGGAAGCGCCGACGCTAGGGACAGCACGGGGCCCCGTCTGTGCCCCCTGCGCAGGACGGGGTACCCGGCCCGGCGCCCAAACGGCCCCCTCAACGACGACGACCCCACCAAGGTGGCCGACGTGATCGAGAGGGTCGACCCCTGGGGCCGCTGCCTCGTCATCTTCTCGGCGGCGCCACCGTGCCAAGACTTCTCCCGCGTCACCGACGGGCCGGGACACAACGGCGACCGCGGCGGGCTGTTCCTTCAGACGGTGGAGTTCATGTCCGAGGTCCGACGGCTGGTGGCACCGCGGCGCTTCGGCTTCATCTTCGAGAACGTCGAGATGGCGACCGCCGACGCCAAGAAGATCACTGAAGCCCTGGGCGCGGCGCCGCTGTGGGCCGACGCGGCTGACTTTGGCTGGGTTGGGCGGCCACGCCTCTGGTGGCTCTCGACGGACTGGGCGCGGATGACGCTGGACCGGGTGGAGGAAGCGCGACGGCCGGTGGAGGCACTGGACATGGGGGACCTCACCTTCGACGACTCCGTCTTGTCGGGCCGTCGGCGCCTACCCTGCTTCACCACCCCGGCGCTCGATGAGAACGGCAGGGCGGCGCCCAAAGGCTGCAGGGGCAAGATCCCGTCCGACGCACAACAACGGTGGTCGGCGGATCGGCGCCAGTTCGCACCTTGGCACTACGTGAAGGAGGCGATGGTGGTGAGCTCCGACGGGAAGTTGCAGATCCCGCCCCCACGGGTCAAGGAACAGCTGCACCACATGCCGGCGGACTTCACGTGGGGGCCGGGCGAAGCTCCGCTCGACGACCGCACCCGCCACCGACTCATTGGAAATGGGTGGCACTGGGGCGTGGCGCGGCGCCTGCTGCTGATACTGTTGGTGGCCACGGCGTTCCAGACCTCCGACGCCAGACCACAAGGCGAGCCACCCTGCTCGACGATCTCATGGGTCACCTCGTTGTGGCAGTTCGGCGGCCCGGTCATGGGACCGGCGCCGGGGGAGGACACCCGGGACCCCATGGTGGACCTCGACGAGGAGGCCCACTGGAGAGCCTCGGCGGTCATACCGCATCCCTTCCAAGCCCGACCGCGGCTGGAGCCGGCTTGGGAGGAGGCCCTGGACATCCGACGACGATGGCGCCACGACTTGGCCAGGATCAGGCGCGAGGTGATCCGGGAGGTCAGGGATCTGATCGACGACCTGGCCGAGCAGACGACGGAATGGATGTCCCAGCGCTCGGCGGCGGTCAAGGCCACCTACTCCACACCGGACAAGCCGGCGGTGACGCAGATTCCTGTCCTGCTGGAGCTCCTCCGACGCCTCAACTACCCCGACCTCGGGAACCTCACCGACGACCTCACCCACGGCTTCAACATGCTCGGCGCCCTTAACTCGGGCCCGGGCTGGAAAAAGCGGACCGACGACCGCTATAAGCACCCGGCGTCCATGGAGGAGCTACGACGGGTTAACGCGGACTATGTGAGGCAGCGCGTCGCGACAGCCAGGGTCGGCGAGCACCGAGACATTGCTGCAGGAGCTCATCGACGAGGTCAAGTTGGGGCGCGTGGTTGGGCCCACCAGGGCACCGACGTGGCTGAAGGCGCGGGCGGTGGCGTTGCCGTGGCGCGACGGGGTGGCACACCTGGTGGAGCCCCCGCCTGGCGAGGTGTTCCTGGCGGCGTCCTTCGCCATTGTCCAGATCGACGAACACGGGAACATCAAGATTCGACGGGGCGAGGACTGGCGTCGCTCCGGCCACAACTCGACGGTGGCGGCGGACGACGTCCCCACACACCATTTCCTGGGGAGCTTTGTGGATCTGGCTCGGCGCATGGCGGGCGACGGCGTGGTCCTGATCTTCGGCCACGACCTCCTCAACGCGTACAGGCAATGGCCTGTACGCTGCCCGGCGCACTGCGGCACATTCCTCCCCACCGCGGCGGGGATGACCTTTTGGTATCACCTCGCGATGAATTTCGGCGCTACGGCGTCTGTGTGGAATTTTAATCGCGGCGGGGATGCGCTCCAACAGCTGCTGCGCGGCCTGCTGCTCCTGCCGACGGGCCACTACGTGGATGACTTTAATGGCCTCGAGTTTGAGGAGCTGGGCCAGTCGGCGATGGAGGCGTTCGAGCAGCTGTTCGCGGCGCTGGGCTTCCGCATCAAGGTCTCCAAGTCCCAGCCGGCGGCGGCCCAGCACATCGTCCAAGGCGTCCTCTTCGAGATCTCGCGGCGGGGGGTCACCCTCAGCCCCACCCCGGAGAGAGTGCGGCGCATCATGGCCCAGATCACGCAGGCGCTCCAGACCGACGCCATGAAGCCCGACGAGGCGCACAAGTTGGCGGGTCGCCTCTCATTCCTCACCCAGGCGGTCTTCGGCGGGGTCGGCAAGGCCCCCATCAAGGCAGTGTACGCGAGAGCGGCGGACACGGCGGCCCACTCCAACGATGGCCTGTCCGGAGGGCTGAGGGCGGCGCTGCGCTCCCTCGAGAAGATCCTGCCGACGATCCGCCCCCGCTTCATCCCGTTCAGCCCCGACGACATGGACACGGCGGTGCTCTATGCGGACGCCTTCTTTCTGGACGGCGAACAGCGACACAAGGCCGGCCATGTCCCGACGACTGCGTCGGCGGCCGCACCCAAGCGGGCCAGCAACGGTTGGGGTTTTGTGCTGCGCCTCGGCGGGGTGGTGTTCTACGACCACGGCGTAGTCCCGCCCTGGTTTCTACGGAAATTCGAATCCCGACGAGCATTTATCTATATGCTCGAGGTGTTTGCCCAGGTGGCGGCGCTAGCGGCCTTTGCCACGCACCTGCCCGGCGCCGTGACCGCGTTCATCGACAACACGGCGGGCCAGGCGGCGCTGTCCAAAGGGTATGGGAAAGACCCGGCGATGAATGGCATGCTGGCTGCCTTTTGGGCCTTGGCGGCGAGGCAGGGGACGATGGTCGACTTTCGACGGGTCCCGTCCAAGGCGAATGTGGCCGATGCTGTGTCCAGGGATGATTTTGGCAGGGCCCGACGGGAAGGTTGGACGAGGGTCCACATCCCGGCGTCGCCCATCATGCACATCCTTGCGAAGGCGGTCGACGACTTGCTCTACGCGGTGGATGGGGCGGCGGCTGATCTACTGGCGTGCTCTTCTGAGTGGTCTGGTGAGCCGGCGCTTGGTGGGGCTGTGTGCGCCGGGCGGTGCTGATGTGCGCACCCGGCGCCGGCCGTTGGATCAGAACCTGCACGCCGAACGGCGCT